TTGGAATTAGAACACATTGAAAATTTAGTGTGATTCTTGAATGCCATGTAAATGATGGAATGTTGGGTTTAAAGAAGTGATTATGGAATAGAAATGAGTTTAAATATGTGTATGGAAGTTAAGAATATTAAAGGAAGTAAAATATGAAGGTTTAAGCTGAAATGAAGTGAATTTCGAGCTCAAAAATGTGATTTATGGGCAAGGGGAATTGGTACCCATTCAAGGGGAACCGATACCCCCTCAAGCGAACCAGAATTACAGAATGTCAAGGGGGAACCGATACCCCCACAGGAGGGAACCGATTCCCCTAAAGGAAAATTGTAAATATTGGTTTAATAAGTTCATTTAAGTTGCTAGTATCTAACTACAAGGTGTAGGTATCTAATGATTGCCTCAAAATGTACATTTATGTAGATTCTGCGCATAAAGCAATTCCGGAACATTTGGCAAGTAAGATCGATCAAGGGAAAGATAAGAGATTGGAATTGACTAGTGAGGCCAAGGTAAGTGCATACTAGTGACATGTAGTGTTTAATGGAAATAAGACTTGCGATGAGTCTATTTCCTAGAGTAATATGCATGAAGTCATAGACATGATTATGTGTTGGTTATAACTATATGTGATTATATGTATTACATTGATTGTATGTATGCATGACTAAAGATAATAATATGCTTTGTATATGCTATATGATTTATGTAAGATTTTATTATGTAATAATGGAAGAACATGGAATAAGTTATATGATAGAGTTATAAGAAATGAAATGAACATGAGAGAATAAGATAATCAAGTATAAGTCATATGATATGGTATAAGTGATTATACGAGAAATGTTAGGAGACTCTAAGAGAATAGTATGAATTCGGGGGCATAAATAAGGATACATAAGTTATATAGAGAAGATTGATAAATTAAAGGAAACTATGGTTTATGTATTAAAGCGAAGAGCTACACAGTTTTATTAAAGAGTATTGTGGAAGTCATGAGAAATTGAACTAAATAAATAGATGGTTTATGTGAGTGAAAAGGGAAAATGATATAAAATAAGTTATGAAATTATAGGAATATAGAAGATAAGTCGAGAGATGTAGGGAAATATAAATAGATGTTTATTAAGAGTCATAAGAGAACAAAAATATGTAATATGATAATGAAATATAAGACTATGTGGATACATGGTTATGAGATAAAATATGTAATAATAGGAAAATATGATGAAAGTGAGTTTATAAGAAGTGATATGAACTAGGTAAACATTGGTAACAATATATGCATGATGGAAACATGAGTTGGACAAGTACATAGTGGTATGATTTATTATGAGAATTAGTATAATGGAGCTATATGAAAAGATTATAATGAATATATGAAATTGAATTAAGTAAAGAGATTAAATTAGTACCTAAATAAAAATACTATTAAATGATATATGTTTAGAAATACGACATAATTTATAATATAAGGGAACACAAAGAAATGGAGCATAAGGTAGATAATATGATATCCGTTATTATATATCTGTATGATATATGTCATCAGGTAATATGAAAGGACTCTGAAAATTGATGTAAGCTATGAGAAAGTGTTCTAGGTGTTTCTATGTGTTATATGAAGCATATATGATCATATGTGAACAAGATATGATATGTATGTTTATATGAATATCTGAGAAATGATCTAAGCTATATGATATGATATATGTGATTATGTGCACTTTGGGATATATGTTATATGATATGGATCTATGAAACTACGTGAGAAAGTATATAAGCTATGTGACATGTAAATGTGACTCATATGAAAATATTCTATGAGTAATTGAACTATGTGTTATGTGAAATGATAAGTATAAAAGAAAATGCCCATGTTATGTGTCTTGAGAGCTAGGGGTATAGTTGGCATGCCAAGAGTTGAGGGTCTATGCGGTCCTTCGGGACATATATGTATTCTTTGGAACATGTGTGAAGTCTGGTGAGACACATACTTGATCCTTGGCATATGTATATGATTCTTAAGGAATGATATGTGGTCATTCGGGACATATATGTATTCTTTGGAACATGTGTGAAGTCTGGTGAGACACATACTTGATCCCTAGTATATGTATATGATTCTTAAGGAATGATATGTAGTCCTTATGGACATAATTATATGGCACTACGGTGCAATTCTACGCGGCACTCCGGTGCAATTCTACGTGGCACTTCGGTGCAATTATATGAGCTGTGGTGACAGCATAGTGCACAACCTCTATAGACTCACATATCTATAGTTCTCACATGTGTACATGGGCTTTGAAAAGAGAACATAATTTGATATAATGATATGTGTATTTCTCGTGACACGGTAGAAGTGCATATATGTCTTGGTGATATGAGAACAATGTATGTGATATATGTATATGATTTGTAATATGATGTGTGCATGATATGATATATGTGTGATAGGGGTTATGGTATCTGTTACATAATATACATGAATATATGTTGATGTATATGTAAATGAGTTGTATAATTTGATAGCATAAAACAGTCATGCATGATTAGTGGGTATGAATTCCATTAGATGTGTTTTCTTTATGACTCACTAAGTCATCGACTTAGCGTGTGAGTGTTTCACACGCAGGTTACAGAAAGTGAATATGGAAGCTGTGAGGAGTAATACAGGTCAGCATCTCCCTTACAAGATTTCAGATCAGAAAATAGATGAGTTAATTGATTTTTGTTATTTTGAATATAGTTGGCATGTACTAATTGATTGAGTTAAATATGCTCTGATCGATTTTGGTTATTGTGGTCAAATTACGTAACTAAATTGCTTTTACTCTAAGGAAAGTTTTAAATTTTCTTTGAATTTTGTCAAGAGTCAAAGTTTGAAAAGTCAATGTGACACCTCGGACTCGTATCCGGGTCGGGTACGGGTTGAGGGTGTTACAGCATGCATATTTAATTCATATTTGTGTTATTGAGTAAACATTGGCTTACGATGAGCCATTAAAGAAATTATTATGGTAAAAAGTAACTTCTAACTATTTTGTGAATTTTGATTCATACATATATTTTCAATTAATATGCTAATAGAATTAGTGAAAAACTTCAAACCATTGGGCCAAGGCATGCACTTGGTTACATTTGTACAACAAATAATATATATTTTTGCATCTTAGTAAAATTTTCTTTATACAACAAATAACATAATTAATAAATAAAAATTAATAATATTTTTTACATTAATAAAAAATACAAATATATAAAACATATTAATATTTTTTGTTAATATTTAATATTTAATATATTTATTAATATAATACGAATATATAATATAAAATATTATATTCATATTTTTATTAATATAATACAAATAGTAATTTTTTTGTTAATATAAAATATTATTTGTATATTTGTATTTTTTATTAATGTAAAAAATATTCTTAATTTTTATTTATTAATTATATTATTTGTTGTATAAAGAAAAATTTACTTAGATGCAAAATATATATTATTTGTTGTACAAATATAACCAAGTGTATGCCTTGGTTTGGTTTTTTCTACCCCAACTAAGAGGTTTATGGTTTAAATCCCTTCAGCCCCCTTTAATTTTTAGTTTATTTTCTTTCAATCAGAAGGTGACATGTCTCAAAATCATATCTAACGTTTAGTTTTTATTTATTTTAATACATGTCGTTAAAAACTTAATGCGTTTAGTACCTAAACTATCAATTATGGTACATTTTAGTACCTAAACTTTCAATTTTTTCAAAACTTAACGTTAAATTTTGAACGAGGTACTAAAATGAAAGAAAAACTAAAGTTTTTAACGAATTATACTAAAATAAAACAAAAACTAATTTTTTAACAGGGGTACAAAAATGAAACATAAACTAAACTTTAGGTATGGTTTTAAAAAAATTACTAAAATGAATAAAAAAACTAATAATTTAAGCACTACACACGTAATCTACCCACGAAAAAATAGTATAAGAACTTAAAGTAATCAGTATGAGGACTACATTTTAAATTTAACAACAGTGCATGGACTTTTAGCCATTTTAGAACTTTAAAATTTGAGTCATAATATAAGGGCTTAATACACAAATAAGTACCCAAACTATGCCTCGAAAAATATTTTAGTTCACAAATAATTTTTCGTTAAAAATAGATTACCATTTTTCAGTTATACTTTTAAGTGTCCATTATTTATTTTTTAAAATTTTTTAATAATACAAATATTTTTTAATTTAAAAATTAATTTATTTACAAAAAACCCATTTTTTTATTGAAATTATAAAAACCCTAAAAACTAGAATCTTTCATTTCAACCCCATTACCAATAATCACCGACCATCTCTGGCCACCATCGTCATCGTCGAACGATCACCCACTGTCGGATGTAAATCTCCGAATCCATCATGATCGGATCCTTTCAAGGATGTTTTTCAATCAGTTCTTCCTAGCAAACAAAAAATCGGTCGGAATCGAGGAAAAACGGTGACAGTGACTTAAAACCCGACGAATCTTTAAATGCTTCTTTACGGTAAACGGTGGCATGTTACGATAAAAAGTCAACAGGAGTTTGATGGGGATCGACACCGATACCGATGATGGTGAGGGTGAGGGTCACGGCCGGCCGAAAGATGACCTATTGAAGGGGAAAGGGAGGGGGAGAGGAGCACATGTGGAGGGGGTTGGGGGCTCCTTTTTTTTGAATTTTTAAAAAAATTCAATATTATCAGAATATGACATGTTTCATTTAACGGAGATATTTAATAGAGGTTAACATCCGGACACCTAATAATATAATGTTTGAAACATTAGACACTTTTTTTAAGAAAAAAATTCTTTAAGTACTAAAACATTTTTCGAGCATAGTTCATGGCCTTATTTTTGTATTAAGCCTAATATAGGGAGGTCCTGTGCAGTTAACCCTTTAGAAGAAATGATAAGCAGGGATATTTCTTATCCTCAAAAGAAATATCCTTTGAGTGACTCAATTTCCCGCTCCCGAAAGCTCAAGCATCTTCCCCAAATTCAAATCCCTTTTTCATCAGAAGCATGCAAAATCTCTAGGGTTTTAGTTTTCCTTCAGGTACAATAAGGGTTTTTGGGAGGTTTCTTACACCCTTCACTTCTTTCACGCCACTGTAAGACCCAACGAAAATGGCTGCTTCAACTGCTCTCTCGCTTTGTCCGTACATATTCTCTCGCCGGCCTGGCCCAAAAAATCGTTACTTTTCTTGCTCCACCGGCTCTTCTACACCTATAGGTTTCTCTTTCTTTCTGTTGTTGTATTTACTTAACCTGCATGCATTCCATATATAATAGTCTTTTTTTTATGTTGTTTTAGGATTCTGTTTGATTGCCGATAGGGTGTAGTAAGAACGGGATTATGAAGCTTTTCTGTTTTATGTTTGTTTAAAGCTGGGGGTGGGTTTTGTTTTGGGGGGGTTGGTTGGGGGCTGGACTTGTTTTATGCTGATGTTTTTAATTATGGAAACAAGGGGGAATGGATGGTTTAGAGTTGGTTGAGTACTTATAGACCTGTAAGCTTTGACCTGAATCCGAAAAGCCAGACCATCAACCTAATGCAATTTGATCATAAAAAGGTAACAACTTGAACACGAATTGATATTAAATTGGAAATGATTCAATCCCAAATGACATAATGAAATGATCCAACCCGAAAACTGAGCCTTAAACTCCGGTGACCTGAACCTGAACTGACAGCAATCTGAACATGAAATGACCAAAAACTTTTAAAACCCAAATTGGTCCAACTCCAAACTATCCCTGCCTGTGAGAGATAGATAAATCCTTTTATGGGCATAGAATCAAAGTATAGAGAACTAAGTTGAAAGTTTTAGTTATATCATCCGCGCCGGGCTCTTCCGTTAAGTACGTAACCTGTTGAGGTTGTTAGCTTTTCCCATGATTTTAATGCTTCATAATTATGGCTGTTTTAGGTACACGAAGAACTGAAGTACCTCGCAAATACTCAGGAAGATTGGAGGGAGCTAAAACAAGTATGGAAGACTCTGTTCACCGCAAGATGGAGCAGTTCTATGAAGGGAATGCTGGGCCCCCTCTTCGGGTCCTTCCAATTGGTGGTTTGGGTGAAATCGGGATGAATTGCATGCTTGTCGGGAATTATGATCGCTATATTCTAATTGATGCGGGTGTGATGTTTCCAGAGTAAGTCTTGTGTGTTTGGAGTTCAAGAAAGCTTTTGGAGTACTTGTTCTTACATGTCATTTGTAATGTTGTGCTTATAGCCTTATTGGAGTAAAATTTGGTTCTCCTATTCCAAGTTCTGTTGTTTCTTAATGAATTTTCCATATATCAAACAACAGTCCAATTTTGACTATGGGGTTGATCCTTTATTTGTGCAAATATATATCAAATGTGCCGGTGCATTTATGGCTACTTTAATTCTCTTCTATTTTCCGTTAATATTGACATTGCAATTTCATTTTATTGTCATTTCAGCTATGATGAACCTGGAGTCCAAAAGATTATACCTGATACAACATTTATTAAGAAATGGAGCCACAAAATTGAAGCAGTAGTGATAACACATGGCCATGAAGATCACATCGGTGCGTTGCCTTGGGTAATTACTTGTCCTTCTAGCCTTGAGAATGGTCTATCTTTGTAAGAATTTGGTGTATTCATGATTGGTTGTTTCATAGTCAATGATGCTTTGGGTGGGTGGTGAAAGAACGGATGAAATGACTAGACCATACTTTTTCATATTTTCGTTTCATGATTTCTTTCTACCATGAACTTGCGTTGGCTATTTCCAATGAAACTGCAATTGTAGGTGAATATATGACAAAACAAGCTGTTGCTCAGATTTTTGTTATTTTTCTTCTTTCTCTTTACATTACAAAGCATCGCCACCAAACTGGGTTAGAACCACTCAGAAAAATGTACTGGATTCAGCAGGATTTTTCCAACTGTAAATACCAGTTAAACTGCTCTATTTGGTAATTGTTATCGTATTGTAATGTTACTGATGATACTGCATTCTAGCATGGTGTTTATGTTGCATTTTCTTTTTTAACATTATTTTTCTGTTTCATTTCTTGTTTGAGCAGGTTATCCCCGCATTGGATCCCCACACTCCAATATTTGCATCATCCTTTACAATGGAGGTACTTTTTGATCTGACAAATATATGCAACTATTATTTGAAAACTTAATATTGCCTCATTTCATAAGACATTTGTAGGGATATTTGGCAGAAATTACTCATTTATGGATGCTGACGTGATGATTCTAAAATTCTCAAATAATAATGAAGATTATTAGAGATTGTGAAAATTACTCCTTAAAAGTCTATGCTTTTTAATAAATATTAACATTTGTCTTGGTAGCTCTTGGAAGTTGTCCTTGTCAGAACAACAATGGCCCCACTATTTTTGAGGTGTTTCAGCCTCTTAATTATCTATATTACCGGGGTTGCAAACATGACAATTTTCTGTTGCATCTTTATCATCTCTTGCTGAAAATGGCCTTGTGACACACTTGCATTTATGTTAACAGTTGATCAAAAAACGATTGAAGGAGAATGGGATTTTTGTTCCATCTAGGCTTAAGGTATTTAAAATCAGGAAGAGATTTATGGCTGGACCGTTCGAAATAGAGCCTCTTAGGGTGACCCATTCTATTCCCGACTGTTGTGGGTTAGTTCTTCGCTGTGCTGATGGTACAATTCTTCACACTGGGGACTGGAAGGTGATTCTTTTTTCTTATCTTTACATTTTCTTCTCAATGTTTTTGTAACTTTCAGGTCACTTAAGCTGTTTTATATATATATATGACAGATTGATGAATCACCATTGGATGGGGATGTTTTCGATCGGCAGTTTTTGGAGGAACTATCCAAGGAAGGAGTAACACTTGTAAGATCCTTAATATACAGTTAATTTTGTGAGAGGTTAGCAGATTAAAAGGGATACTATTTTGGAGTTGTAGTGAGTGTGTGTGAAATGTCCGTGAGGAACTTAAAAATGAACTATAAATTTTCAATTATCCGACTCATGATTGAGGCATGTCTGCTCAAACTTCTATAATCAGCTGAGATGATTGTCTTGAAATGATAGCATATCACTTGATTTTTGGTACTCGTTGCAATTTCAATGATAAATACTAATAGCTGACATCTTGTCTTTCTTATCTCTTATTCTTTGGCTTCCTAGGCTTATTTACTCATCTCTTTAGTATAAATTAAATCCATAAAACAAACAAGAGATGGTCAAGATTTGTCTTAATCTTTTGGAAATGTTGTTATGAATATCTAATTCAGTTAATGTGTGTGACGTTTACAGATGATGAGTGACTCTACTAATGTTTTGTCACCTGGAAGGACAATTAGTGAGCGTGTAGTAGCAGATGCTTTGTTGAGGCATATTTCAAATGCTAAAGGAAGGATTATTACTACCCAGTTTGCTTCAAATATACACCGGCTCGGAAGTGTAAAAGCTGCTGCAGATTTAACTGGTAGAAAGCTGGTATGTATCGTTCAACTGCATTGGTATCTTTGTACCTAGTTGTATGAATAATGTGGATGTCAAATTGGGCGACAGATTATATATTTTGAAAGCTCAGATATTTTGGTCCTTGAACTAGGTATTTGTTGGCATGTCATTAAGGACTTATCTAGATGCAGCTTGGAAGGATGGAAAAGCACCAATTGATCCATCGACGCTGGTATTAACTCTTTTTAACACTTTGCTTGTTACTTTGTGGTGAGAGTTTATGTTTTTCTCTTCCTTTAAGTTTTAAGTTTGTTATTATCACATCAAGCTACTCGATTAGAAACTACGGTTTTGTCAACATGCTGCAGTACTTGTTTAGCTTATGTTCTTGGCCTATTCTCGGTAACATGTATTCTCTTTTCCTATTTCATGCACTTTAGGACCATACCTTGAAACAAAAGCTGTCCCGCAATTTTTTTTTAACCATGTTTGTTTTATCTCTTCTTTTACCCTTATTGAAGTGGATTTCTGCCTTAAGTTGTGCATCCATTTGCTATCTCCTCATAAGCTGTCTTAATTTTTATGAGAAAAAAGAAAAAGAAAACCTGAAAAACTAAAATGATCTCCCATCTTGAAAAACTATTATTTATCTCGTATCATCTGTTCTCTGTTCTTCCCGTATGATTTAGGTGAAAGCAGAAGATATTGATGCCTATGCTCCAAAGGATTTGATAATCGTCACAACTGGATCTCAAGTAAGTTAATTTGTGTAAACACCAATGACAATTCTTTCAGTTGACCAGTTAGCTTGTTTGTGACTGTACACTTTATTATGTCAGGCAGAACCACGGGCAGCCTTGAATCTTGCATCCTACGGAAGTAGTCATGCCTTCAAACTGAACAAGGAAGACGTGGTTCTCTATTCAGCTAAGGTAATCATATGCATTTTGTTTCTAATTGGGAATGTTTCCTGATTAAAAAAATAGCAGCACACATCTTTCTTGTTCTCTTTTCTTGACTACCATGACTCTAACCTGTGTGGGAGATATGTTTGTTATTTGATTGTTTTTTATTTAGAGTGTGCTTAATCGTGCCTAAGAGTATTGAACTGTTAAGACGTCAATCTTGTACTATATCAGGTAATCCCTGGTAATGAATCTCGGGTAATGAAGATGCTAAACCGTATATCAGATATTGGATCAACTATTGTGATGGGCAAGAATGAGGGGCTACACACTTCAGGTCATGGCTATCGTGGAGAACTGGTAAGAACTTCATCGTTGTTGCTTTCATTCTGAAATTTTCTTGGTCACTATCCTGTTGTTTGAGAATGCGAATGCAAAAGGATAAGTAAACAGCTTTACGGTTAAAACTCAGGATAGAATATTATACATTGTTGAGATCTTTTCATGGAACATACATTTATGGGACCTCTGATGCTATCTAACATGAACTTTAATATATATATATATATATATATACTAGTTGAAGCGACTTGTATGTAATAATCAATTTCAACGGGGATTTTATTTTGAAGGAGGAAGTGCTTAAGATTGTGAAGCCACAACATTTTTTACCTGTACATGGAGAGCTCGTGTTCCTGAAGGAGCATGAGCTACTTGGGAAATCAACTGGCATTCGGCACACCACTGTAAGTCACTATTTATTGTCATATTATTGTTGTTGTTGTTATTATATAGTTATGGATTGGTATAATTCCAATTTTTAATGGTGAAAATTGTAATATAATTCTTATTTATTTTATCAGGTTATAAAAAATGGTGAGATGCTTGGGGTTTCTCATTTAAGGAATAGAAGAGTTTTGTCTAATGGTTTTCGTTCCCTTGGGAAGGAGAATCTGCAGGTTGGTAATCCTTCAAAAGTATTCTCCGTTCCAAAAACGAAAAAAAAATTTGAGGAAGATATTCATGAGTTTAGTCTTAAATTGCAGTTAATGTACAGTGATGGCGATAAAGCATTTGGCACGTCAACTGAACTTTGTATTGATGAGAGACTAAGAATTGCCTCTGATGGCATTGTAGTGGTCAGGTAGATGAATTTTAGATGCTGACATGAAGCCTTACCTATTCCTTATTTGTTTCATGTCTATTAACGTATCCCTTTTGCAGTATGGAAATTTTACGCCCCCAAAAGATAGATGGCATAACTGGAAATAGCTTAAAAGGAAAGATAAGAATCACGACACGCTGCTTATGGCTAGACAAGGGGAAGCTTTTAGATGCACTCCATAAAGCTGCTCATGCTGCACTGTCGAGCTGTCCTGTAAATTGTCCTCTAGCTCACATGGAACGAACTGTTTCTGAGGTATTGAGGAAGATGGTAAGGAAGTATAGTGGAAAGAGGCCAGAAGTCATTGCCATTGCATCGGAGAACCCTGCAGGAGTTCTCTCTGATGAGCTAAATGAAAAGCTGTCTGGCAACTCCGATGTTGGGTTCGGGATACCGACATCGAGAAAAGTGGTAGATGGACATCCTAAAAGGAGACAACCAAACAAAATAAGAGCAGAAGAAGATGAGGGTAGTTTGCGTCTAGAGAATACTTTAGAACAAAATTCGATAGGTTTGTCCTTCAACTCTTGTTCGATATCTCTTCAATTCTCTCACTTTCCATGCAAGTGTCTATTGGAGTTGGTGATCTGCTTTATTTCGCAATATAAGCACTGCCTAAAATTGATGTGGTCTTCATGATTTCTTCGTGCAGTTGGTGTCGGTGGTGATGATGAAGTTGAAACGTTCTTACCCGAGGAAGTGACCACTACTTCAAGTCCTGACCATACTGACAGTAGTGAGGATTCTGATGAATTTTGGAAATCATTCATCATATCATCGCCTGTTGACAAATTGGAAAATGGTAACAATGGGTTTGTCCCAAACAAGGAGGAACATAAATCAGAAATGAAGAGTGATGGTGCCTCAAGCAGTGGAGATGACTTCAAAAGGCCCTACTCTAAATCAAAGTTGTTGAAGCCTGCGAAACGGAACAAATGGAAACCCGAGGAGCTTAAGAAGCTAATTGAAATGCGGGGTGAATTACATGGCAGATTTCAAGTTGTGAAAGGGAGAATGGTCCTTTGGGAAGAAGTATCTGCAAACTTGTCGGCTGATGGAGTTAATCGAAGCCCTATGCAGTGTAAATCCACATGGGCATCTCTGGTTCAGAAATACGAGGTTTGTTCTTTCTCTTTAGTGCTCCTCGGGTAACTACAGGTCATATATCATCATACTTATTCTGGGGTAGAACACTTGAGGATTACATATTAATAACTACTGTAGCATATACCCTTTCTTCCTTACACTAGTTTTAGGTTCTTATCATTGACCAAGAAATGTTCTTGATGGGAGGTGATAGCAGCTCGGTCTGGTTTGAATCAGTTTCCGTCATTCTCGGTTTTATTGCTTAGCCCTAGTTATAGATGAATGCAACCACTTTCAACTTTTTCCCCCCTTTACGAACGTTGCTTATCGACAACTGTTGGTATATATTTGATAGGAAATCAAGAGTGAGAAGAAAAGCCATGAAGGTTGGCCCTATTTCGAGGAAATGGATAGAATTTTATCCGATGAATTCGAGGCAACGCAACAGCCACAAAATGATTAAGTCGTTGGAGGATCCAAACATGAAGTTATACAATTACAGCCTCCTCAAAATTGTGGGATTCCATTGATTTTCAAAGGAGACATGGGGGTTGGTTTTGAAACCATGACATGTTCTTGTGTTGGTGATAGTTGTCAAGATGGGGACATATGCCACTAATGGCGAAATGATTTTTGTAGCAATAGAGACGTGTGTGTAAATTCAAAGATACCGCAAGGGCATAAATATTGTTGAATTTACAGCAACGGGGCTGGTTTCCTTTTTATAGTTAATGCTCCATTCATTTGATGAAATTCTTCCTTTGTAGCTAGGCCTGTAAATGAACTGAACGTTCAGCGAACCGTTCGTGAACCGTGCGGCGGGAAGTTCGTTTATGTGCGTTTATTTATTAAATGAACGAACATGAACAATATTTTTTGTTCGTTTAATTAAATGAACGAACATGAACATAGGTCTCGTTCGTTCATTTACGTTCGTGAACGTTCGATTATGTTCGTTCGGTTATGTTTGTTTATGTTCGTTCGATTATGTTCGTTTATGTTCATTCATTTATGTTTAACTCAATCTTCTTAAATCAATTTTGGTGACCAATTTGTAAGTATCTTAAAAATATTAATTAATCTGATATTCTGATGACCAACTCCATAATTAACCCAATTTTATTTGGAGATTAAATCCAATATGTTAACATGTGAGGCACATCGCACCTATATTCATTTCCCCTTTTTTCCCCAAACCCTAGTATTCACTAGAGAGTCGAGACGATCGCTGAAAGCTTCAAAACAAGTTATATTATAGTGCAATATGAAGATTTACAGGTCTGTTTTCATCTATTTCTCTGTTTTATTTGGCTTAATAGTTGATATGTAAAGTTATTGTAGGTATCTTCACATCTAAAACTCAAGAAAACATCGTACTTCTTTCTAGAAATAGATGGGAAGATAAAGGTAACAATCGGAAGTATATGAGCATCAATAAAGAGAAAAATATATAGAATTTGCCAGAAAACAAAACAAATGTTTCTATGAATTTCTGAAAAGAGTGTAATAGCGAAAAATGATTGTTCATATGTAATCATGGACCACTAAGATGAATGTTATAGTGTTAAATTAAAGTTGTGTGAATAATTTAATATCTTTAAAAGATCGATCAAAATATTTGATATCTTCAAACATTTCATCACTGCTAATAAACTCTTACGCTATTTATCACTGTAGATTTGGTTATTTGCATTGTCGACTATTTTTCATGAAAGAACAATGGAAGGTAGGGTCTCCAACGTTTATGTTCGTTTATGTTCGTGTTCGTTTATGTTCGTGTTCGTTTATGTTCGTTTATTTATTAAATGAACGAACATGAACATATTATATTCCTTAATAAACGAACATGAACAAAAAAAAATTTGTTCGTTTATGTTCGTGTTCGTTTATGTTCGTCTATTTATTAAATGAACGAACATGAACATACCTCCGTTCGTGTGCGTTCGGTTCGTTTACAGACCTATTTGTAGCTTATGGTAATTCTAATTGAATTTATGAGTAAAATTATTCTAATATGATATAAAAATTGTGCTTCGTGTTTGCATTTCTGTGGTAAAACATAGTGTTTTTTTTTGTTATACGTTAATGATTTGAATTACAGATGGCATGGGTCGGGTTGGGTTGGATTTTTGGTCCACCCGACCCGAGAACAATAACTCTTCCGCCTGAAATCCGGATCGATCGGCATGATATATACTAACCCGATCCGACCCGATTTTTTGAGATAAAATTCGAACTCGACCCGAAATAATAAAAAATATTATTTTTATTTAATAAAAACAATGATTTAATTGAAAAAAATATATAGAACAATATTATTGTAATTATTCATAAATATATAAAGTAAAATTATATTTTTTTTCAGGTCGGGTATTTTCACCCTAAACCCGAATCCAACTCAACCCGAACAACACCTTTAAAAAACCCAGACCCGATCCGAACACGATTTATTTTAATAAAAAAACCCAACATGATAGGGTCGGGTTGGGTCCCACCCATAGAATTCGGGTCCCATGCCCATCCCTAATTTGAATCATGTCAATTCTAACACGATTTATACCTCTGGTGTTCATTTGCTTTATTGAATCCTCAATTATTAGAAATTATAAAATAATCCTTCGAATATAGGATATTATTTTATTGAGTTGTCTTAACTAAATTCAAACTAATTAGACGGTGTGACACAACATGCATGTTTGGGCCTTGAATCATACCTCTCATCAGTGTGGGTTTAACATCTTTACATCACCCACAATCCCCCATTAGTGAAAAAAATAGAAATTAAAAAATATGAGAGGAGCAACTACAAAATTAATCGTTTAAATACTAATACTTATTAGGTTTAAATTAACACGCAAATATAGAATTTGTTAAAATAAAAAGTAACTCAAAACACACGACTAGCCAATGTGCATCAAGATGCTCACTAGTAGGGATGGGCACAAGACATGAATCTAATAAGTTTTGATCCTACTCTATTGGTTAGTTCTTTTAAAAAAACTCTGGGTCGGGTTTGAGTTAAGTGTGAAAAAATCTAACCTTAAAAGGGATAACTACAATAATTATCCTTTTTTATAATATTTTTTCAATTAAATATCCTATATTATTAAATAAAATTAATAATTTTATATTATTTTGGGTCGGATCGAGTTAGAATAAAGTTTAATCTCAAAAGTGGGTTCAGGTTTCAAATCGGGTGAATTTACCCTAAACTCAAGTCAATTCAGGTTTCGGGTATAAACTTTTCGGGTCAGGTCGGGTTGATAGAAATCGAACGTGTAAACCTCCCAACACATAAATGTTCTAGAAAAATAACCCAACATATTGTATAGAAGGCGACTAATCCTTCACATTTATATAGCGGACTTCTTCAAATTATCCAAATATAAACCACCCGAATCAGGACTACAAAACACGAGAGCATTTAAGTTCATCCTCTCAAAGTAAATTCGATAAACCCATAAAGTACTCAAAATAACTACCTAAATTCTGGACTACAAATTCATTAAGAGCATAGAAAGTTAATCTCAAACTTACATTTTACATATAGGAATAAGTAAAAAAAATACAATACATATCTTTCTATAATTTCGTTTGATCACATTGAATCCGACGAGATTTTATGTTAGGAGGAACGAACTTATAAAATTTTAAAGGGAGACGAACTTATGAGACCATTGGTAGAGAACCGTGATGATAGTGAAACTTATCTTAGAATACGAACATATGGTCTGGCCGCCGGATCAATGGATACGACGAGCCCGATGCTCGTATCGACACATTTAACAAGAACTTGGGAAATCAAACAAATATGGCTTTGAGCATTACTCGTTGATGAAGAATTCTTGACAATCATGAAAAGGAATCACCATAAATATATATATCCCCCCTTGTATATATATATATTCACAGCGTCCTTTTTTTTTTTATGAAATGAGATCGTTACATAACTTGAATACAACAAAATTAGAAGCATGCACTTTCCTTGTGCAGGCAACGAGGAGATGGCGAAAGGAAACGAGACGAAATAAAATCCGCGAAACCATTGCCCGAAACGTCTGTTTGGTTTCGCTGCCTTAACATACCATCTCCAGAGAAGCCCGGTAACAACTGAGAATCATAACTTAAAAACCTATGCTTTCATTATACAGGCGAAATACGAGTGAGCGACACCGGACGTGTCATGACTCGATAAAACTCACTTGAATACAGGATTTTAGAAGACGAGCAGAGAGATTTTGGAAGAGTTGCGTACGAACCATTTGTACAAAGACGCACATACAGCTTCACATGAAGTAGCTGAGAGCCTGCTTTCTTCGAGAACCACCCTCACCGTAGAGCTCATTCCACTGAAGCAGCTCAGTCATGTTTACGGATTCGGATGATACACTGGCACATACCTGTTGAGATTTGAAATGGAGTAGCTTAATCAGCTATGACATTTTTTTCTCCTTATTGGAGGAAAAATTACTAATATAACTTGTATTTATCGGTTACCCGCTCATGAGCGTATTTGAAGTCCTCCATGTTTAGAGAGCGGATATCGGCACTTCCACTCAAAGGAGGCGGTGGTTTCCCCTCTGCTAGAGCAGCAGCTCGTTCCTGCCAATCTTGAAACTATTAGAAACATGGTGCCGGTGTGCAAAATATGACATGATCTACCAAATATATCAGCAGTCAACTTTTGCATAATGGTTGCATCAAAAACAAGCATTGGTTCTTATATAGGGGAATGCATGAATAGCCAATAATCTACCAAACATAACACGGTCGATTCAACGATAAAAGTACAATTGCAAACTATGGCCACTGATTCCAACTTTCAATGAAGTCATCATCATTGCATCGACAAAATATACGAACAGAGCCAAAAATCTTTCAATATAAACAAACGGATAACACAACGCTACATACTTTTTTCTCCTTTTCTAGAATTTCTTTAATCGGACAGTGTGCGGCAGTCACACAAAGATTCTGCAATATAACGGAGCAACCAGTCAGTCGGTCAAAAAGGCCCACGAAAAAATACATCGGAAGTTGGGAAAAGAGCGGTTAGTGTAACCTTAAGATCACTCCCAGAATATCCATCTGTCAAACTCGCAATAGAATCAAAATCGACAGCAGGGGACAAGTCCTCCTTTGCAAGAATAACCTTTAGTATTTTTGCTCTATTTGCTGCATCTGGCAAATTTACCATTAATCTGCCAAATTACAACCCAGCCATTAGATCTTGGGCTCAAACTACCAGTAACTTAACCTGGAGTAAGGTGGTCACATTAAATTCGTTCGTCATATATGCAACAGATGGACAGCAGGAAAAGAAATCGAAGCAAAAAAAACGGGGGGTAAAGAAGAAAATAATTCTTTTCGCAAAATTTCTGACTAGTATTCCGTGTACTACAAAAATTTATGTTTCATAAAGGTCTTTTCATTCTTTATTTTCCACTATAGCATAAGATAGCATCGTTAGGAAATGATCTCAGGCTCCCACGATTTCTGTTACTTGAAAATAATAAAAAGGAACGGGAAGGAGCATTATTTTCGTTTTCCATTTTTTTTTCTCCGAAAAGAGCCAAAGTGATGGCTCTTACCTTCGTGGAAGTCTTCTAATGACCGCTTCATCAAGGTCAAAAGGCCGATTTGTGGCTGCAAGTACAAGAACCCGTTCTGTGTCTTTTGTACGTAGACCATCCCAGT